AGTGATAAGCCAAAATCTGCCCTCCTGTTTCCTGAAAGCTTCCCTTCCCATGAAAGAGACTTGCATTGTTCTGTCTTATTGTAGATGCTCTATAATTTAATTTGGGGGTAGTATTGAGCTTACCTAGTTTGAAGTGGCTAAAGGAGCTGTGTGAACCTATTTATTTTAGTACATATCTGCAGCCTCTCAAGCTGCCAGTGTTTCCTGACCTGATATAGCTCTATGGGAGGAATTGCCTCATGTTTTCTCCTGGGGTTAAACTGAAGTGTAGGAAGACAAGGAGGCTCCAAGAGAAAACAATTATACAGTGAAAAACAGGACACTTACACACACCCCAGCAAACTCCTGAGGTAAGCGCAAGAAACCCAAACATAGAAATATAGAAACATAGAAACAGAGTGAGTCAGAAAGGGGCCTCCCGGGCCATCTAGTCTGACCTCCATCACCAGCCGGCTGCACTCACGACATGCCCACCAAGTGCATGTCCAGCCTATCTTTGAACACCCGCACCAATGGGGCCTCAACGACCTCTCGTGGAAGCCCATTCCACACCCTTGGGGTCCTAACTGTCAGGAAGTGCTTCCTGGCATCCAAATGGAACCTTGGCTCCCTGAGCTTTGCTCCGTTGAAGCGCATCCTGCCTTCCTCTGCAGGGGAGAACAGGTCTCTACCCATCTCCATGTGACATCCCCTCACATGCCTGTATGTCGCCAACATATCCCCTCTGAGTCTCCTCCAGGCTGAAGAGACACAGTTCCTTCAGTCTCGCCTCAAACCTTACCTATGAGAATGTTTCTTCATAATTTAATCTCTTTTCAAGAGCAATTTCTTTGCTATTAAACAGAAAGAGAATGGTAAAAAACAACAGGAGGGAAAATTGGCACAGGGCTACTGAACACTAGCTGCAGATGTTGCCTTTCCATTCACTTCAGCTGCCCTCCCATTCACTTTAATAGCTTCTACTGTTGATGACAGATCATAGGATATAAAAGCTAGCATAAAAACACACACAGGTGACCACAGCCTAGATGATAGATAAGGTGTATGTGGCATGGGGCTTTATGTTCCTGACCCAACATTGTATACACTTAAGAGCTCGCAGAAAGGAACTTTGGTGAAGGAAACCATGAGGAAAACCCTTTGCAGACCAAGGAACCCCCTGCAAAAACAGCCTGTCTGCAAAAGACTGATACAAGCTTGAGGACATTGCTAGGACTTGTCTGCCTAGGATCCTCACAGAGGCACTGCCTAGAGACTGCGCAAACACCCAAGAGCAATTCCTAATTCATGCCTCCTACTGGGGATGCCAGGACACAATGCTCCACATGGAGAAGCAAGGGAAACACTGCAGAGTACAACTGTGGTGACTATCTGCCATATTTCTCACAGATTAGTGGAGCTGGAAGGAGCCAAGAGGGCCATCCGGTCCAGCCCCCTGCTGTTGCAGGACACAATTTACACCATCCCACTCAGCTGACTGTTCGGTTTCACCTCGAATGTCTCTAGGCAAACAGCGCAAAGTATAACTGCTGTGACTGTCATATTTCTCCTCTCCACTTTGCCCTATCTGTGCCTCCACTGTGTCTTATCTGCCTGAACTGTTCTGTTCTAACTCTCTTCCCCTGCAACAAGAGAAAGCAGTATCTCCACCCCCGAGTAATCTGTCCAGCAACAAAGGCCAGGTATTCTGCTTTAACCATGTCCATGGCTGGTCAAACATGTATGAGTACTTTTACCTTGCAGAATGACCACCCAGATGCACGCAGCAGAAAAAGCTATTGCCACACATCCATGGAGAATGGATGTAACCTCCAAGGAGAAAGGGGTACTACAGGTACTCTCTCACTACAATCTCCCCCTTATGGAGGTGAGGAGGCTGAAGGATGAGCTCCATCTGTCCATGCATGTGGGCACTATGCCCTCTCCTCACACATTCCCATACAAGCAACTGCTGTGCGACCTGTTGCGGGGGCTCTATGCTCCAGCTGTTTACTGTGGCTGATTGCTCTGTCTCGCCACAAGCCAATGTTCCACAAGTACAGGGCCCATCCCACAGCTTGTTCTTTGCAAGCCAGGAGCAGGCCCACTCCACAACCAGTGACCAGGACATTCCCAGACATTCTACCTTGGGGCTGACAAACTGCTTGCTTCGCAAAGGGCCCTCTGCCTTTGCAAGCTCACTCACAGACAGCTTTGCAACAGGTGAAGTGGATTCCATGTCTTCAGGAACACTGCAACCAGCACTCTGCTTCTCTCAAGCCACTATCCAAGACAACAGAGCCTTGCTGGAGAGACAGGTGAACAATCTTTGCCTTTTGTATGTAGCATGTGGCTGCTGGGTTTACAGTATCCCTAAGATGCATTAATCAAAACTTGATCATTTTCATTACCTACATTAAACTGAAAAGTATCAACTCCTCTCTTGCTTTTTCATCTGCCACATGAACAATAGTGCAAACTGAGACCTCCTCTCTTTTGTATGATTTCTGCTTACAATGCACTACGACTCAGATCTTGACTCTACTTTCTCTGCAGCAGTTTTTTCAAATCCCATCTGCCTGGAGAGTGCAGTTCCTCTACTTTCCATTTTTTCCTGACAATCTGTAATATGTGCTGCTGCGTAACAGTAACATGATGCCAACTGAGACTGTGGCATGGAGCAAACTTTATCTAATACTGTTAGAATCAATTCCTTGATTAGCTATACAATCTAGTACTGTGTCAAAACCCTACCTGCCCTATCACAACTTCTTTGTTCCTTATGAAAGGTAGACTCTACCTTTCTGTTTCTCTCGCAGAGATGTTGAAAATTTCAGAAACATTTCTCAGTGTAAAGGGCTTCAGCACTTACCTTACTGTAAGAAGATTGCTGAGGGCTTGGGCACGTGCACTTTATTTTGTAACCTGTGTCCTGTTATGTGCTTTGCCCCCCATCCTTATTTGTGCTTCCTAGAAAGCACCCCTAAGGTCTTAGCCAGGACTTCCTCCACCCAGCTCTTTCGTGCTGAATGCCTGAAAGCTAAAAAAGGTGTATTGATATGCTTCTTTATGAACTTCTTGTTCAGAAGATTTTTAACAACTTCTCACTTTCAGGTATCCTGCAGGTAGCAGTGCTCATTAGACTTCTTTGTCCATTGAGATTTACTCCCCAGGAAGTTGGATATTGTATGCATAAGTTCACGACTGGCTGTACCATTAGGCAGAGTGAAGCGGCACTTCAAACAGCTAATCTGGGGTGTCATGAAAGGGCAGCAAATTAACAGTTATTTAATTTGTTATTCCAGAAGGTAGTGGTGTTAGTCCTTTGCAACCAACAAAGAATCTTCTGAGTTCTTAAAAAGTAGCACATTTATTCTGGCACAAGCTCTCATGGATACTGTCCACTTTCCCAGAAGGCATGAAGTGCCAGCCTCGGATTGACACAAATCTGACACAAACCTGACAGGAATAACAATGACCAAGTCCAGATGATCAACAGTGGTACCTCGGCTCACGAACACCTTGGTTCATGAACAAACCAGGTCACGAAAAAAAATTTCTGAAAAATTTTGACTTGGGTCGCGAATACTGCTGTGGGTGGCGACCAAGATCGCAGCCATCTCCCCCCCGCCCCATGGCGAGATGGCCACGATCACACTTCTGTTTGTGCAGGGAAGGCGTGCGTGATCAGAGTTTCCTGTGTGCCCCTGCAGGAAACACGGGAGCAGCAAAGCAGAGCCGCGGGGCAGATGGCCAAGATTCCGCCTGTCTTTCCTGCAGGAGTGCGCCTCTGATGAGGCACGCCTTCCCTTCATGAACGGAACTGCGATTGCGCCCATCTCTAACTCCCCCAGTGCGCCGTTTGTGCCTGTCTCCTCCTCCCCCAGTGCGCCCGCGATCACACCCATTTCTCCCCCCCCACCCCCCAGCGCGCCGGGATGATGGGCGCATGCCAGGATGACAGGCGTGTGCAGGGTTGACAGGCATGATCTCGGTCATGCTGGGGGGCGGGGAGATGGCCGCGCTTGTGCTTGGGGGGGGCGGGGGGAGATGGCCGCTATCTTTGTCACTTTGCTTCACATTTTTCTGATTTAAAAAATGGTTACAGAACGGATTAACCTTATTTACATTGAACCTTATGGGGAAACTTAACTCAGCTCATGACCAATTTGGGTCACGACCAGAGTCCTGGAACGGATTAAGTTCGTGAACCAAGGTACCACTGTACTAGGGCTTTTTGTGAGCTATTTAATCCACATTGAATTGCAGCACTTATGGGAATCAAACTGCATATCCAGCCCATGCTTGTGTCCTGTGAACCCAGTGAATATAGTTTATGTGAGGATTTTATGCTGGGAGAGAGACAGAGGATATGTGACCCTGTTGATACTGCTGGACCTCTTGGTGGCTTTTGATAGGATCAACTATGGCATCCTTCTTGGGCAACTGTCCGAGTTGGGAGTAGTTCCACTCCTACCTGGAGGGCCATCTCCAGAAGGTGCTGCTTGAGGAATATTATTCAGCCTTGTGCATTTTCCAACGTGGAGTTCCTTGGGGGGTGGGTCTATCCCCCATGCTATTTAACAGTGCAACACTTTTGTTCCCCATGCTATCTACATGAAACTGTTGAGTGGGGTCATTTGGAGTTTTGTAGCGCGTTGCGATCAGTAAGGCGATGATACGGAACTCCCGCTCTCCTTTCCATGGTCAGCAGGTAAGGCTGTAGATATGCTAAATTGCATACAGTCTGGCTGCAACAATGAGCTACACGAAAGCTAACAAACTGTTACTAAGCGAGCTGGACTCAGGAACCGGCCGGAGGTAGTTGACTCTTATGCGCACGCTCGGCAAAGGGGACGGCTTGGAGCGCGCACGCGCACTGCTCGGCGCAGGCCTTGCCTGTCTCAGGCGGCGCAAGATCCCAGCTTTTGCTCGCTCCTGGGCCGGAGGGGCGGGTAGAGGGAGCGCGGGGGCGCGCGGGGGGAGGGGGACTGTTCCCGGCCCTGAGAGCGCGGGGGCGCGCGGCCGGAGCATGAGCGGCTGCCGAGTGTGAGGGGCTCGGGAGGGCCGGGACCCGGGTCCCTTCCCCACCGAGGGAGCCGGGAGCGAGCGATGGTGCGGGCTGGCTGGGGGGACGGAAGCTGCGACGCCACCACTGAGGCGCGGTTATCTCGCCGCCGCCGCCCCCGTCCCCTCTTCTTGCTGCTGTTGCTGCTGCTCCCGTCCTCGTCGCCGCCGCCCGCGGGCTCCGAGACACTAAGGGGCCCCCTGGAGGCGCCGCTTCCCGCCACCGGGCCCGGCCTGAGCGTCTACATGAGCCAGGAGGAGGTGCGACGCCTCATCGGTGAGTGAGGGAGCGAGGGGCGAAGGGCTGTTTCCCTCCCTCTCCGTGTGCACGAGGGGGGCTCCGTTGTGCGTCCGGGGTTGGAGCCCTTCGGGAGCGAGGGAGGAACGGACGGATGCAGCAACTCGCGAGCTCCAAGTGCAACGAGCCCCTCATTGCCTCTGCGGGCGGGGGCAAAGCCTGCGTGGGGCAGTGGGTTAAATGGCTGGGACTCCTGCGCAGGCTGCGAAATCTTCCGCCCAGGCCACCCCTCCCATTCCCTGGTCTCTCCGTTCCTTGTACGGCCTTGCTGGGTTAATGCAACTTAACCATCTTTGTGCTTGGAGCACGCCGCGTTGGGCTGGATTTCGGGGTGGAAACAAACACAAGCACGTACGTGGCTGTGGAGGCGGTGGCGGCGGCGGCGGGGTGGTGGGGCTGCTCGTTTTAGTGTTACGAGTTGGATTTATTTCAGGAGCGCTTTAAACGTGCTTTATGGTGCAAATTCCAAATCCAGTCTTTCCTAAAAGCATGGTGAGGAGGTTGTTATTCTTCACACGCAGCGGGGTAATGTAGGCCGGCAGAATCATCACTTTGCCCCTAAAGGCCACCCAAGCGAGTTCACGGCGAAGGTCTCTCAGAGCCAAAGCCAGCGAGCTGTCGCTTAGGAGCAGCTTTACCCAGGCTTCCCTGGGCCATTGGTGGCATATACTGAATTGGGTGATGGAAATCATAGGGTAACAGATCTGGAGGGGGTGCTTATTGTGGTGGTTTTGTTTGGAAAATAGTGACAGTCTCACTTGGGAACAAATCCGCACTTTGGCATAGGGACAGTTTATATACAAGGAAACAGACATTATTTGTTCAATACATACAAAAGCAGTGAATTTTAAAACAACTGGACCATAGCATTTGATATGTGAAACCAATAAATCCCTAAAAATTGATGGCTAGGGAAAAACACTTTTTCTTTTGCAAATTAGTTTATGCTGCCCTGCAGCCTTTTTCATTCTGTCTAAATATTGCTGTATGACTCCTTTATGTAAAGTACCAAAACAGTGCTGATTCTGCCCATACTTTAGAGCAGGGGTGTCCAGACTTGCTCAATGAAAGAGCCACATAAGGGAAATGTCAGATGTTTGAGAGTTGCAAGACATGAACAATTATTGATTGATTGTGACTTTATGAAAGTGTGTTCGTACTTATCATTGTATGATTTTTTAATGTACATGACTAGACTCATAGACACCTGGAAGACTAACTGTGAGATGCTCTTCACAAAGAAATGAACCCTGAGAAACATGAACTGCTCAAAGCAAGTGTCATGTTAATTTAAAAAGCAGCTTTTTTTTTTTTTTTTTTTACTGTTGTAACAGACAGAATCCTGGCAGTGGGTCCTTTGAAGGAACTGCAGGAGAAACAAGCAGCAATAGCATAGCTATCTTCAGGGACTATCACATAAACAACACAATTTTGCTTTGGAGCTGTGATTGGTCCCTACTCCACATTCAGGAAGGAAGTCAAGATGCCTCTTTCAAAGTTGGCTTTTTAAAGTCAGCAGGAGCAGCATGGGGAATGCTGGGGTGAGCTCGCAGGAGGCTGCTGGACCAGTCAGCTTTCTCCCTGAGCTGCTTGGGCTGGCAGCCTCTCAGAAGCTCACCCCAGCATGCCCACCCACTTTTGCTGGCACATGCAAAGGTGCTTTGGTGGTTCTACCTCTGCTGCTGCTCCAGGAAGCAAATCTGGTGGTGCTATTGGTGGCATTTCCTCAGCATCTTTGGCAGCGGCTGCCTCAGATGCAGCCCTTCCCCCAATGAAAAAGCCAAAGATGGAGCAGATAGTGCATGAGAGGTTGTTACTTTTGGCCCCTCTTTCCTTCCCACCCAATTACCCCACACTTGTGAAGGCATGAAGGAAGAGCTCATGATCAGCCTTCATGTGCTCCGTCTCCAGCTTCTTCACTGAGGGTAGGGCTGTAGCCAAGGCAGCAGCTGCCAACTGCAGAAATGTTGCTGTGAGCCTCAGGAAGAGAGCAGGATGGAATGGCAGTCTCAGGGAGAGCGCAGTGCAGTAATGCCAATGCCATCACTTGGATCTGGACTGGGAGTAGAACAGGTATTCCAAACCCTCCATGAGCTCCAAAATAAACTCAGAGAGCTTATGGCCACCCTGATTTTAGAGCATACTTATTTGGCAGTAAGCAGTAGTGAAACTGAGTCAATATATTTTAGGGTGGAAGAGTTGGCTACATCCTTCATTTGGTTATACCAGCTTCTTATTGCTTCCTCTGAGATGAAATTAAGACTTGTTAATGCAGGTGGTAATAAATGTAGGGAATCTCAGTCCTGAAATCTGTATCACAGAATTAACAGGCCTAAATGCAGTAATATATCACATTCTGCTGTGTTTTTTCAAGAATTGATGTTGAAAATCTTTAAATATTACATGGTTGCTTGTTATGCTTCAAGAACAGAGGATACTGAATCATACCCTAAGATACAGAAATGAAGTTAAATACTACTTTGTGAACCTTTTCCTTATTGATTTCACTTTCATCTTTTGAACCGGAATGATTATAATAATTATTTTAGAAACCCATGCCTTCAGAATTCTAAAAATGCTTGTGTTTCCAGACTTTTATTTATCTAGTTATTTATACACATATTTTTAGACTGCCTATAAGAGCTGAGGCCTTCCTAGGCTGCTTACAATGCATTAGATATGTCAGCAATACCTTATGAACCATCTATACATCAACAGTTGCCTGTTACTGTTCTAGATCTAAGCCATTTAAAAAATTAAAATTATATAAAAATTATAGCAGAATTGCTTATAAGATGATCAAATGATCAAGTCCAACTCCTTGTAAGAGCTTATTTTGCATCCTTCTCTCTGGAGGTATCTTTGCATTCAACATTTTCAAAGGTATTCTACTTCTTAGTTGGTACATTATGATTTACTATGGTGTTGATGGTGGATTCTCTGGTAATAGCGCTCTGTAAAGTTTAACAAAGACTGATACCTAACTGTTTACGAATAACAGCATTTACAGCTTACCCTAAATCTAAACTTCTTCTCAAGCAAGCTGCTTCACCTAACTGTTGTCCCATGTGTTAGGTCCCTGACCTTTCATATGAGTCCCCTGTCCCTGAGGAGACGTGTTTTGGAGTTAACTATGGAGCCACATTGTGCAAGCGGACATTACTTTGCAGTAATTCCCCAGGTCAATGTTCAAAAATCTTGGCTATCAGATTTGGTGCAATTTAGATGGTAAATCATGATTTGAAGCTGGTTTGAAAAGCAGGCATGAACCATGGTCTTGCCAGTGCAGATGTAACAGCAAACTAATTTTTTCATGTAAAAATAATATCTTGAATCCAGATGTATGAGCTACAAGACTTGTTCATGGAGTATCAAACCATGTCTTAATGCAGGGGCAGCTGACCTGGTATCCTCCAGATATTTCAGTCTGGAACCTCTGTCAGTTCTAATCAACATGGCCAGTGGTCAGGAATTATGGGAGTTGCAGTACAAACATCTAGAGGCTGTTAGGATGTCTCCCTATGATCTAGTATTAAAAGTACAATCCTGTGTTGTTTAGACCAATGAAAGTCCTACAACTCCCAGCATTCTCTAGCCATCACAGAATGATGGAAGGTATAGGGCTTTTATCTGTCTAGACATTCATAAGATTGTACCCTAAAGGTCTCAATTATTCCAGTGCTTTTTACTAGGTCACTTCCTGTTGCATGTGAGCAACTGAATTAAGACAGTTCTTAATAGCATATATTTTAACTATTTTGTTTTGCCCCTATATTCGCTTATGGCAGTTAATTTGAATAAAATGCTTCTTTAACCAAGTTTTAAAATGTTGCTTATATGAGTCCTGGGTCTATAAAAGGTCTTAGGAACACTTACACTTTTTATTTGGAATGTTCTATGTCACCAGTTCATTATTTTGTTTATTAAATGCTTAATAAAATACATTCCTCTAAGCATTATATAGTTTAAGATAAAATAAATAATCACAAGAACATAAGTATCACATAAAACCTATAGATAGCTATAACATTAAAATATAGATATGACACTTAAAAGAAGCAACAGGTACAAGAGTGCAGGGCCTTGAGTAGTAGATCTTCAATACTTAAAATGTCTGAAATAACAAAACAGTCTTGGTGCTGAAGAAGATATAATATAGCGAGGTGAATTTCTCTTGATAGCATTTCAGAATTGCTGAGCCACTACTGAAAAAACTTTTCTTGAATAGTACTATCAGTTGTATTTTACTTTTTGCCTATAGCTACTTGAAATTGTGAAGTTTAATCGGTTTTCCCACCTATCCTCCCTTTTGAAAGCCTGCATGATTGAAGAGATTTTAAATCAGCACCAGTGGACCAGCTGTTGCATTCCTATTATTGGGCTTTCAACAGGCATCTGGTTGACTACTGTGTGAACAGAATGCTGGAGCAGATGGATCCTTGGTCTGATAAAACATGGCCTTCCTTACAGTCTTATCTTCAATTCTGAGGACTGGCCTTGGAATCTACTCACAGAAGTAGTTTGTATCTTGCTAAGTAGGCATTAAAGCTAAGTTGGAACAAGTATTTCCTTATTTACCAATAGGAAATGAATAGTCATGGATAAGCAGATATACCTGTACATGTAATAACTTGCTGTAGTTGTACTTTTTCTTTGGATATTCAGGTCTGAAGAATTGTCAAAAGTTGGATGTTATCTGCATTTTCCAATACTCAATAGTCCAAAAAATTTCATGTTACTAATTCTACACCAATAAGATATTACACTGACCTGATTCTTCCCCTCAGCTAAAAATGGTTATCATTTTGTTATAGTGTGTTTTTTGAAGTAGTGTGTTGTTTTAAGGTGTGTGTCAAGTGGACACTTGCTTTTAGGATTGGGAGCAAGATTTTGGAGTTTGATTTCAAAAATGGACCTGAAGTAGCTAAGGCCTCTCCCGAGGCTATGTGACTTTTGTATGTACACTAGTTTGCTTGCTC